AGTTCTGCCGCGCACAAACCACCGCTTTCCCGGGGCGTACCTCGGCGCTGCCCCCCCCTCCCCAGCCCATCGCTGGTCCAACCCCACCGCTCTGCTCCCCGGGCTCGGGGCTGCGTCCGTCGCGACGCTGTCGGGATAGAGGCGCGGTTTAGTGGGGGTCAGTCTCGACGCCGGCGTGCCCGGAAGCACTAGCGTGCCATTTCGAAGGGGTTTTGTAGCCCAACCTTGCGGACTTGGGTAGATCTGTTGCATGAGCAGGTAGATGTGTTTGTCCTCTCCCCCGTGGCGTAACTGTTCTTTGACGATGGAGTGCCTTAAGAATAGTTTACAAATACCGTGTATTTATGCTGAGCTGTTAAACTCTGCTGTTTGCTGGTGGTTTGGTTTTTTTTTTTTTTTTTTTTTTTGGTGCTTTTGGTGTTTCTGGTGGCCGTTGCTACTTCTGCGTATCGGCCTCTCGGTCCCGCTGAGCTGGGCGCTGCTCACCACTTCCTTCTGCTCTGCGTACAAAACCCAAAGGGCTGCGCCGAGACGCCGCTCTGCCGGCTGCGGCTCCCCGTGCCCCCGCTTATCTATGCACCGCTGCAGGGACGCGGCCCGGAGGGGGCAGGGGTAGGGGGTCGGGGGGAGACACCCCGGCACCGTCACCGGCCGCGCTTTGCTCAGCGGATTGCCGGGTGCGAATGCAAACCCAGCCCCATTCGGCCAGAAAACCCAAAATGCACAAAACTGGCACCTTATTTCCAGGCCGGGCTCTGTCGGTCCGTGCCATAGCAATAGCCGCTCTCCTGGCTGCCCTTTCCGCCAAGGGGGCGTTGGGCTCGCTCGGGTCCCCGTGTCCCCTGGCGGGCATCGCCCGCGCTCTGCCAGGGACCCAGCACCCACCCCGGGCGGTGGAGCCCGGCCCGGTGAGACCCTGACCACAGACCTGGAGGGGAAGGGTGGGTGAGGAAGGTGTAGCCGTGCCAGTGCATCGCTGTACTCGATGCTAACAACGTCCAGTTTATTTCATGGTATTTCTTAATCCTGGTTTTATATTTAAATATGCGGTATCTTTTGTACTGTACGTGCGCGGTAGGGGAATGCATAATGCACTTTTTTTTTTTTTTTACTTTGGTTTGTAAAACGATGTACTGTACCTTTTATGTGCTTCTTGTGAGAAAAATAAACTTTTTTTTTTGTTTTCCTTTTACAAATGAGCTTTGCAGCCTTCTTGGAGGTGGGGAAGGATCAGCCCCGGCGGTGGGGAACAGGCCCAGCGGGGGCGGGAGGAAGGGG